TGTGTGTGTGTGTGTGTGTGTGTGTGTGTGTGTGTGTGTGTGTGTGTGTGTGTGTGTGTGTGTGTGTGTGTGTCCACGTGCATGTGTGTAAGTATGCAATTCTCCTAACACCCAAAGTTATGATTTCTTTCAATTTAAACCCCTTTAACGATCACGAGGTAACACAAATCAGTGGTTTCTTTAAACAAAAGTTTTGACTCTATTAGAAAAGTGTAAACAATTCTCCTCTCCTCTCCTCTTCTTCAAATACAACCACTGAAACCTTCAACTCTCAGTTTCACATGTTTTCTAATAATTTTCCATCACTAATCTCTGTCTCTCTTCCATTTAAAAAAGATAATTTCTATAATCTCTGACCTGACTGTGGTTTGAAGGACGTTCCATGTTTTTTTCTATATCCTTCCTGTTTGTCATAGCACTTCTCACCAAACTCGTCACAGATTTGACTGGTATGTGTCTTTATCTCACAGTGACACACTGTCATGTCCCTTTGCATTTTTTGAGCAACTAATTTCAATCACTTTGTAGATGTTTGCTTTTTAATAATTTGGTTGATTTGGGTCACACAAACTAATTATTTAAAAAAGATTTACATAATGTAGACACTGAGGAAAAACAAGTTCTGCAAGTTCCTGTTCCTGCAACACTGAGTTCTTCCTGCTCTTATGTTCCTGTTGTGCGTCATGTAAGGACCAAAACTATGAATTGCAACATTCAACTGTGAATTTGTGTAATCCGTAGCATGGTTTTGACTCATTTATTTTGCATTACTTAAGAATTATCTTCCTCATATCTCCCCCTGCCAGTTGGACTGTGGGTTTCAGAGGTGAACAGCTGCATGCCTCTGGCAAGGATACTTATTCAAACTAATAAGAGGAACACAGCGACTTGGCTTGGGAACCAGAGGGTGGCCGGTTCAAGTCCAGCATGGACAGAAGTTGGAGAGGTGCTAGTTCACCTCCTTGGCACTGCCCAGGAGCCCTTGAGCAAGGCACCGAACCCCCCAATTGCTCCCTGGGCGCCTTCATGGCTGGCCACTGTTCCGTGTGTGGTCACTGTGTGGATTGTGTTCCGTGTGTTCCGTGCGTGCTCCGTTCACACGGATGGGTTAAATACAGAGGTCAAATTTCCCCTTGCATGCTGTGTGTGGGACCATAAAGAGTCTTAATCTTAATAT